TATACAAATAACTTGAATGTTTGACAAGGAACCAAACAAACTGGTTGATTAGTTTTATGTTAATTCTGTGCTTACTAAACAGAGTAAAATGTAACAAATGTTATCATTTTGATTTACTGTATGATTATCATTTTAAGTTATGATAGGAGATAAATTTCAGTTATGCAGTTTTATTCTTCTTTTGTCAAAAGTTCCTTAACCCAACACTCTCTTAGTTTTGTTAGCATTGAATTGTCAGATCTTTAAATCCAAATTAAATTTATAAAAACACAAGTAAAGTGAATTAAAGTGCTCAATATTTGCAAAGAAAAAAAAAGTATTATCCATCAGATAAATAGCATAGATCTGTCTATCGTAAACCTTCATAATTAACAGTTATTACAATGTACTCACTTATAATTGGACAGTAAAATTTTACAGAATTGCTATTTGTAATTCTTTTTTTTTCAGTTTACTAGAATACACTTACTTACATGGAACATTTGCATTATCAGATCAGATTTATGAATCTGCTTTTAAAGTAGTTATTGAATAACATCAATATAAATAATTTCATCATCATTATATTCTTCACACAACAAAAGACAAAAGAAGCCTCATCACAGTATGAACTGTTTGAAATCACAGTTTTACTCTTAATTTCTGGCAAGAGTAAGTGATGTTACAATGGGTGAAAAATTAAGTAACTCATTAAAAAATCATTACCTAATATTATAAAATTCACCTGCATTTGACTCTTGAGTTAATGCCTTTATATATAGGTGGTTTTTAAGAAGTAATATATTCAAACTTTTATAAAACAACACAACCCTGTAAGTTGTACATAATAAAAATGTAGAATTAAAGATCCATACAGTCAATCACAGATAATTGTGCCTCCTCAGCACAATGGATTATCACTGAATGTTGTAATATGATAACATTTAGCCAATAACTTTGCACTTTTAGACTCCAAAACTGAGAAGAATGTCAGTTAAACTTTAAAGCTATTTTCATACTTACATGATATTAATAACCACTCCTATAGAGGCAGTTATCAACATAATAGTAGCATCAATTTCGTAATGATGCATGATGATTCTCTGTATAGCCATATACACTAACACACCAGTCACCACCCAGATTAGCAGTACTGAAGTTAGGGCTCCTATCACCTCTTGAAATAGAAAAAAAGGCATAGTATCAAAATTTTAATGTTAATATGACTAAAATCTAAATGAAATTAAATATGGAACTCTAAAGTGACATGCCCATTTTTCTTTTTCAAGAACCATATAATACAAACTAGTTGAATTTTGAAGGAGTCACATTGAATCTCATTAATAATTGCAACAGGTAATCAGAAATTCTACTGGGTAATCTGCTGAAATGTAACAAAATATTCATTTGATTATGTTTTAATAATTGTATCAATAAAAGCATTTTTAACACACTACTACATTCATTTCACATAAATGTAAAAATCAATATAAACTATTTTTGTTGAGGTCATATTTCTATCTAATTTACAAACAAAAACACTAATTATTTTGAAGTTTGATAATACAAATTCAAACCTGGCTTTAAAGTGTATATTTTACTACAAGTGATTTGTTACGTTTTTTATATTTTTATTTCTACACTAAATCAAAGTTTTCAATTCTCAATAGATCATGAAATTATCTGTCAATCCAAAAACAAAATTCATTTTACAGGCCAGTATATACGGAATAAGGAATGACATAAACAAATTAAAATGACTTAAGGTTGTGAAGTCACAATGAAACAAAATATTTTGAAACTCTTCCAACAAGGCTGTGAAGAATCAAAAAGAAAATGGGAAGAAAGATGCCAAAAATGTCTGGGTGATAAATAAAGGAGTAGGACCATGTATGCAACAGAAAAATTATAAAACAAGACAATGAGGTTTAAGAGAAATTTAGTTACAGTATCAAGAATATGGCTAAATATGTAAAGGTATTGAAGAACATGAAAAAAAGTTTAAGGGAGAAATATCAAACACTGGAAAGGAAATTAAAAAACAAGTATTTGCCAAAGGTACTACAGGAAATCATAGTTATAAAAATCCCATTACTATCCAAGATAATGTACAAAGTGCCGTTGATGGAGCACTTGCAATAACAGACAATGTAGAATATCTGTTTACCAAAATATAAAAAATTTATATAAACAGGATGTAGACAGTATAATAAAATATTAGAGAGACAGCTTGGATGAGTTACAGCACCAGCCAATGCTAAAGAATGGCAACATGGAGTTACTCCAACATCAGAGCTTGGCAGTTTAATCAATTAATGAAAATTATGATTAAATATATTGATCAAAATTAGTGTCTAATGATTATCACGATTTTTGATTTTTCTAACAAGTGATTAATCAAAATTATGATTAAACTGACTGCTATGAAAATAGGTTTCTTATTATTGCTATTTTTGAATATTCTGCCACTGTCACTATCGTGGTTCATAATAGAGATCACAAGGAATAGAATGTTTGAGCAAAAAGCACTTTAAACAGTAAAGATTCAATTCAAACAACATTTTAAAACCTTTACTATTGTCTGCTAAGACTGTACACATATAAAAATGCACAAAAAAGTTTGCATGTTAGACTTACAAAGAAAAGAAAATTACTCAAAACAGCCCATTTATAATTATTTTTCTTCTTCTCCTAATTATTATTTTCTTGCCAACCTACAACAAAAATGGCTTGGTGTACTGCATCCACACCTTTTGTAGAATACTAAACAAGGTACTACAAAGATTGTAGGGTATTGAAAAGTTGGTTTGTTTCGTCTATATTTCACATAAGCTAAAAAAACATCATAATTCTAATGTAAATAATATTATCATTAACCCTTGAAGTTAGATTTATTACAAACAGCTTTAGTTTCTTTAAAAAGTTTAAGTACAGGGTAAAACAGGAATAACTAACTAATAGTAGATGAACATTAGATGACTGTAACATGTAGATACTTGTTGCTTTGTACACTATACAATTGATGTCTTTTATAGAGCCAACCCCTATATTATATATGAAAGGAAGAAGTAAGACAAAATCAATACACATAATGTTAAATTTTATTACAGAGATTTGTAGAATAATTGCTTTGAAAGACACAAAGATTTATTTAAAGTGGTGTTTTAGACATACATGTTTTATATGAAAAGGCTACTTTTCTACTGGTAAAATGTTTTTTTGCACTTAGTCTTGGCATATATTTGCCCATTGTTATGCATTATATATAGAGAATTTGGTTACACAAAAACCATAAATGCTAACTATATTCTCAAACAAAACTTATAACAATCTCCAACTGCAGCTTAACATTTTACATCTCAAACTAATGCAATCAAATAGTCCATAGCTATAGTAAATCATCATGAAACATATTATTTAGCTACTAGCTGTATTTATTATCATTATAATGTATGAAGTTAGCTACCATAGCAAGTAATCCTTTGCCCATAGTTGAGCATAAAAAAAGTCAGCAAAAAAAGATAAATAAAAATTGGGAATTTAAAAACCTGCAAATAGGGATAGTAAAAAACTTGGAAACAAGGCTAAGGATACTGTATACATTATTTACTCAAACCACAAATCCCTATTTTGACTCCACCAAATGTAATTCTAGGTAACAGCATGTGATCTGCATAATCAGTGCATTTTCATGTGCCCCTTGTATCATGTAAAATGGTTATAATATACAAATAAAAAACATTTTGGGTTATATTTTGTAAAGTGCTAAAATCAGTAGGCAGTGGAAGAGTTCTGGAATTGTTAGCTTTACAAATTACACGAATCAGTAAAGTTGCCACAACATTCTTTTTGGGGCAAGAGTATCTAAGTGTACTAATCCAGTTATCAAAATAGTACTTTATTGGAGTGCAAATCTCTCCTGGGTGTGTTCAGAAATACATTTTTGAAATACAACCTCTTCCAGAGCAAAAGGCCTTTTTCAAAGTAACTTTTTATTTTCCATATGAATACAAACCTCAGTGGAAAGAATGTTATAAATGCTTACCTGAAAGTAAGGAAAACCAAAATAATTGCTATTGATTTTGTGTCCAATCAATAAATTACTTTAGAATAAGAGATCAGGAAATGTGAAAGTTTGAGGTAAGGTAAACAGAACAGAAGAAACTCTCTCAAGAGCTTCTTGGTGATGTGAAATGCCACACTTCATTGTCCTACCCAGATATACTATAAAGTACCTTGAGTTTAGCAACATGTAGTCAGTTCAATAATGACGTTTGTGATGAACCTAGTCAAATGCAGCAGACAAATATAAACTAAAAAGATTGCTTTAAGAAAAGCTTATCAATATACTCTGGAAATTGAATTCATTATTGCCGAGAGAATACTTACAACACTGAATCATCTTGTGGTTCTAAATAATGTGCAAAAAATACTTGAAGAATAAATTTGTTAACATGAGCAGTTATTATATACTATTCCAAAGAAAGCCATAAAAAGACTGAAGTTTGTTTTAGGAGAGGAAACAGTGAAGACTGTTATCGATTAAGAAAAACAACATTATACTAAAAGATACATTATATTAAAAAATTTAAATAGATTTAGCCATTCTTATAACCATCAAAAACATTATACTCATAACTGTAAACAACATAATGGTAGCCCACTGTTATGGAATAAGAAAAACAACATTTTACTAAAAGATACCAGTTATATTAAAACATTTAAATACATTTAGCCACTCTTATAACCATAAAAAAACATTACTCATAACTGCAAACAACATAATAGTAGCCCAATGCTAAAAAGAGAAACTTCAGCATACAGTTTTGGAAGTCCCATTATAATGCAGAAATGGAAGTAGAATAATAATGTTGATCTCAAGTAATGTTCCTTAAACTAAAGTTCACCTAGGATGAATATAAACCATTGTAATTTTAACAAGAAGCTATTTTATTTAAGGAGACAGATTTCTCTAAGGATTAGTGAAACAATAGAAGGACTACCACATCATATGCCAATTAATTGACAATGGAATTTCAGCCACTAATGTTTGACAGTTTTCAAGTATAAAAAAAACCTATACAAGTGAAGAGAGGGACTGAACTGAAGTAAATTGCAAATCATGGTAGGTGTTCATTATAGGTAACATATAGTTCAATTTTACCATTGGAAGTCTTTCTGTAAGCTAGCTTAAAAAGTAATGGATCTAGAAAAAAGTTTCATGTACATGTAGTTTCTTTAGAAAATTGCACTAAGTTGAAGATTTTTTCTATAACAAAATTACATTAAATAAGAAAGAAATCCCAATGTCAATTGCTAGAGAAACAATTAACAGCATCAACAACAACAAAAAAATGAAGTTCTAAAGATGTCTTTACAGAATACTGAAGTGTTTACAATATCCAGAGCACAATTTAAGTATTTTCAGGCTAATTACTCTTCTACTGGGTCTTTCATTAAATTTGACTTATTGTGAAGCAGGAAGATAATCATCGCATACAGACAGTACCCAAAATAAAGTGTACTGTTTCACTGTGATTCATATCAATACCCTGTATTTTAAGTGAGGTTATTTAAGATTAACCTTTAGAGGAAAGTATTCATCAGTATTATCTATATTATGACATTCAGAAATGCTTATAATCCTTCCACAGCTGCACACCTTAGTGTTAATATGACTATTCGTTGAGGGATTACAGGTGGAAGGTGACTCTCAGAAAGTAGCATATATATTTATAACAGAAACATGTTGGAGCACCACTTGAGCAGTATAACTGTTGGACTAAAATTTTGACTGATATTTGTACACAGTTAAGTCTTGATACCACAAGGTGTTGCTGACCAATTGATCCAAAGGCTATAAAATTAAGATGACAGTGGGCTAGTCATATCAGATGACCTGTTAATGAATAATGTTTATTTTATAAAGCTTACAAGCCATACTAGAGCTGCAGAACAATTCTCTTACTGAAAATTCCAGCAAAGACCAGGTGATTTTGCAGTCCATGATGTTGTAAAGCTGGTTACCTAAGTTTCAAAACTGGTTTTCTGTCAGCCAATGTAACGTTAATATTGATTTTGTTATAAAGAATTAAAAAAAAATATATATATATATATATATTGGTATCTTTCAGCCAATTAAATTGAACTTATTATAACTTTTCAAATTTTATAATG